TTGAATGTATATTATCTATATAGGCATAGTTGTTAATCCTTACCTGAGGATATTTTTTTTCATTGATTTTTAGAGAGAGTGAAAGGGAGGGAAGGAAGAGGAGACAGAGAGAGAGAAAGAGAGAGAGAGAGAGAGAGAGAGAGAGAGAGAGAGAGATTGATTGCTTGTGTCCTGTACATGTCTTGACTGGGATGGGGATAGTACCTGCAAGCCAGGTACACACCCTTGACCAGGAACTGAACCCCAGACCTTTTGGTCCTTGGGCCAAAGCTCTGACCACGGAACCACACCAGAAAGGACAATTTTAATGAATAATTTTTGATCGTACTATTTTCCCCAGTACATTCTAAGCTCACGTGTTTTGTTTGACGGTTAAACATCCGATTCAATAGGCAGAAAGCCACACAGTTACCTCCATTGAAGTTTATTGCTCTATTGGCAAGTAGTCTAATCCCATGATGGTGAAGAATTATTGTCTTGGTACAAGTGTAAGTGATGATATACTTTGTGATAACATCTTTGGGAGATGATTAAGTTGAACAGGAGGCTAACATATTGCCTTTATGTCCTTTGAAATATAGTGGGAAAGAGCAGGAAATGCCAGAAGCCTGGCAAGCTTTGAGCAAAGAGCAGTGGGTGGGACTGGCCACATATTTGGGGCCACAGAGCTTCCTCATTCACATCTGGGGAACTCCACTGTCCCTTCCCGACACACGGCTTGAAATGACTCCTCTGATGTCACCGCCTTGAGTCCCAATTTGCACATAAATTCAATGATATCTCCTGTTTTTACATAATAGCGTTTGTTATCTTTCCCTTTTAACCGTATGTTCTTTTCATTCATGATTTCTTCTGATATTACACATGGATCTGAAAGTAGAAGAAATGAATAAAAGCAATTAGTAACCTTTCCTTTTATAAACAAATAAACCTTCAACCCAATGACTAGCTTAGAGGATGAAGTGATCGAAAGAGCTAATGTACATCATCAATGTGGGCCGAGTCCTGTTCTCAGCCCTGGTCTATGGGCACTCACAGCTCCTCAGCAGGCAGCTGCTCCTCCTCACACACCGGGAAGCTGAGGGGAAGGGAAAGTCAGGCACACCTGTCCAAGGTCACAGTGCTCATCAGGTGGACGATGAGTGTGGACCCGGCAGTGTGACCCCATACACACACACACACATACACACACACATACATATATGATATATTTTCACGATATCATGGACTCCTATTTTTCTTCTCTTGATCCAAGTATTTTATATTCTAGTTTAGTCATCACTGTCATTGGTAAGCCCTTAGAAATAGCTAAAAAGTAAGTTCCAACACATCCCATCAACTATTATATGATGAAACATTATAACACATATGACTTCTTATATCCAAAAATTTTCAAATGTTTCTCAGTACATTCAGATGCTGTTTACATCCAAATATATATTATGTGGGTTCTACATACTGTCAAAACACTTTTTCAGATCTGTCTGAACTACTCCAAGCAAAAATTTACCTCCTTGCTTTAATAGACCATATGTCTGTGTAATTTTTTACACGACGTTGGAGGTTGCCTTTGATGATCTTAAATGCTCTTTGCATATTTCAATTCCAAGACTCAAATACAGTCTTAGCTCCTTCAGCAAACTGATTTGATGTCCCCAGATAATGAAGACTGCTTTCTATTCAAGGTTGTGGGAGCAGGTCTTGCTTGTGCTGGGAGACATGTGTTAGACTTGTCTATCTACTCAATCATTTCAACTTCAGATTTAGAATTTTTTTGAAATTTAATATTTTCCTTTCTATATAACCTAGTTTGGAGCTATTTCTAGACTATTCTGACTTGGGTATATTAACTTTGATTTCCGGTCCTGGATTTACTGGGTTTGCTGTAATGTCCCGCAGAAGGGGACACGAACACTTAAAAAATATTTAATTTATTAGCTCTCATCATTGATGCTTCTATATCTCTTTCCTTTTCCCTTCCTCACTGAACTAAAAAGTAATATATTTTTAAAGTGACTAGTTGAAAGCAAAACACTGGAAAATGTAAACTTTGTAAGAACGAAATCTGTGTAAGGTGAGTGGTTATGGTAATATTAAAAAAAATAATATTCAAAAGAGAAACACCAGAGACCAAGGCAAGGGGGAAAACTGCATGAATACTGTAAGGAAAGAATAAAATATAAATTTGTAGAAAACCTTTAAAATTCCACAAAAAGAGCTCCTAGAACTAATACACACATGCATTTTTTAAATATTAAAAGCAAACATTAGAAAATGAGATGTTAAAAAAGAACACTATCATTTTATAAACGTTAAAAAACTTAAAATATGAAGGAAAATGCCAACAAAATATTGGTAAGATTGCTACACTGCAAATTTCAAAACAGATGGCGAAAGAAATTTCAAAGAAATGAAAAAGTCTATGTGTTTGCGGATTGAAGACTTACTATCATTAAGATGTCTGTTCTTCACAATTAAGTCATGCTTTCAATTTGATCCAAGAAAAATTGTCTTATTTAACCAAAATTAAATGCCATTGACAACATGATTCTAACATTCATGTTTAAAAAGAACTAAATTGGAAAGTTTCATTTTTAAGTATCTAAATCAGGGGTGGGCAAACTTTTTGACGCGAGGGCCACAATGGGTTCTTAAACTGGACCGGAGGGCCGGAACAAAAGCATGGATGGAGTGTTTGTGTGAACTAATATAAATTCAAAGTAAACATCATTACATAAAAGGGTACGGTCTTTTTTTTTTTTTTAGTTTTACTCATTTCAAATGGACCAGATCCGGCCCGCGGGCCGTAGTTTGCCCACTGCTGATCTAAATCCATAATAAATATTCTCTGTTTATCATGGTGTGGAAGTGTCGTAATAATAAACACATTAACCAATGGGAAGAAGGGATTCCAGAAATACACACCCACACACAGAGTAAGCACAGAATGAGTAGTAATTATAAGAACATACAATTTAAAAAGGTCTGCCTAGAAAAATTAACATGAACTTGGAAATCAGTTAACGACTTAGAAAATATTTTCATTTCTATGACAGAAGAGTGAAATTAAAAGTGATGATGGTATTATTTCTAAACAAAGAAAAAGAATAGGAAAAGAGACAGGTATCTTAATGAGAAAGTTAAGAGAAAAACCCAAAAGAAAGAGTCCTTAAATATCTTCAATGGAAAGAAGCACTTTCCTAACAAATGCACCTTAAATTACACCGAGGTCCCATGTTTTATCTACCAAAGAGGGAAACCATCCTCTAACAGGCTGACCACAGCCCCTGTGCAAAGAAGTAGAAATGCCTATGGAATTGCTTGATGATCCATGAATTTCACTTCTGGCAGTTTACCCCGACCATCCGCCCACATCATCATGAAAGAGTTCTTTATACTTCTCAGCATGTATTGTCTTACTTTTTGTATGTATTAAATTTAAATTAACATATTCTTGTGGCTCAAAGATGATATATGTTAAAGATAGAGAATGGGAGGATATAGGAATTGAACCCCAATGGCCACGCCTATTAGATCTAAATGGAACTGTAGTTATGGTAGGTGTTTAACTGTGCTTCCTGCCAGTCTCTGTTCTGTAACCATTGGCTCACTTTTGATAATATGCTGGGTGAATGTGTTCTATGTGCTTATACTCAATATTTTATCAGTTTTTAAGTCCTTGTTACAATAGCTAGGCCCCTGATTAGAATCTAATACCTTTTCATGAGCGGTTTGAATGATTGTAGGTGCTAGATGGATAGTAGATGTTGCATTTCATCATTTTGGGGGTGTAGTAAGCCATGGATAGATAAGCAAAACCAAGTAATAACCTCTACCATCTGTTGCCAACATGGGTGTGACAAAGTTTGGTTTTGACATGTTTGTGAAGTGATTTTAAGGTGAAGATGGAGACAAATATTTATCTTTTCCTCTGAAATTAGAGTCTCAAAACACCCCCACAGCTGTGGAGAAGCTTTGAGAAAGTTGGGAGGGTGGTGGGGGAAGCAGGGAGGGGAGAGATGGCATCTACTTTCTGGCCAATGACTTTTCATGAACAGGACACATATGATGTTTGTTTTTCACATTTTAATGAGATGCTTATGAGAAGTGGTCCGTTGGTCTCAGATTACAATGACATCTCCCACATGGCATTTAACAGGAATTGTGATTAATGAATAAAAGTGAGTTACACCCAACTAGAAAAATAAATTGAGAAGGATTAGATTAATATTAAAAATTCTGAATGAAGGCACATATTTTAATGTGAAAACTGCCACACAGCTCTCATTATGCACAAGTGGGAAACTCCATTTTTCCTTCTAGACATTGTGCTCGGAATGCAGACGCTGGTGACACTCTACGATAGGGAGGTCGACACACAAATTCAACATAATCATTTGTTCCGGAATAAATTTTTTTTGCATATGACCATTTCAACTGTATGTTATGTTCTTTCATGATTTCTTCTGATATTACACATGCATCTGAAAGTTTAAAAAAAGGAACATAAAACTTTAAGTAATATACAAATATTTTCATAGAATTTTACACTTTTATGTAGAATATTCTACACAGATCCAGGAATTTACTCTCAAACCCTTTTCCAAAACAATTCATTGAAAATTTATCATGTTGGTATAACTCATTTTAAACTATCAATGATGTAAAAACGAGGGAAATATGTGGTCATTGCACGTTATAATCAATGTTGACAATGTCACCTACGCTATGAAGGGCTTTCATTAAAGAATCCTTGAAGGGGGTGGTGGAGGTGGATGAGGGTGCAGGGGGCATAAGTGGTGATGGGGAAAATAAATTAAAGAAAAACGATAGTTTCTTGCTGTTGATGCTCAAGAATTTTTCAGACTTTATACCCTCAGACATGACTATTTGGTTGTCAACAGAAGGGGTGATAGTCCATGTAAGTTCTGTTGTAAACAGCAAACATGACATTCATTACACGGATTTCCCAGGGTCCACGAGTATATTAAAGGACTTACCTAAGCATTTGGGTGGCTCAGACCACTGTCCATCACGGCACGTTATTCTCCTGTTTCCCTTAAGTTGATAGTAGGCCTGGCATTGATACTCCACTGAAGACCCGGGAGCGTAGAATGGTGATATATATGTGGTAATGTCTCCATTGTCAATAGCAGGAGGGGGCCCACATTGTCCTGTGGACTCTAAGAGAGGATATTGTTGGTTTATTGAGTGAGCAGTTGATTTTAAGGGAGCTGCGGAACAGGTGGGAGCTACATTCACCTCCTCCCGGCCCCAAACCAATTTACAGGAATCGATAGAGCAATCAACCTGAGTAACCAAATGAAGGCCAGCTGGACAGGAGTCTAGTAACCAAGTGCTTACAGAAGCTGCACAGAGACTGGGAGGGGAGAATGAGACACCTACCCTTGCACTCAGGTGGGTCTGTCCACTTCCCACTGAAGCAGGTCACCACTGCTTTCCCGAAGAGGCCCAAAGGGCGCCTGCATTCATAACGTGCTGTGTCCCCATGTCGATACCTAGGCTTCTGGTTTGGTATAATGGCATTTTGCACTGTGGGAGGGCTGCCACAGGAGAGATCTGAATAAAGAAAAACAAATGGATCTCTAATTCAGTGATTGTTTACAACTCAGTTGAGATTGAAAAGCTTCATAAATTCATATGCAGAATTGAATAGAGAAGATAAAGCATTTTTTAAACTTTTTTTGGTAAGAGTTAAGCTTCTATATCTTAAAGTTCTTTCCTATCCTCTCTTGAAGGTTAATGGACATAATGAGGCCAATGAAAATGATGATTATGCTGTGCAAAACTTTTTACTTTGACGTAGTTCTATCTGTTTATTTTTTCTTTTGTTTACATTGTTCGGGGAGATATATCAGCAAGTATATGGCTATGTGAAACGTCTGAGATTTGACTGCCTATGATTTCTTCTAGGATTTTTATGACTTCAAATTTTACATTTAAGGCTTTAATCACTGCAATGAGCAATGTGTAGGATTTGGTGTAAGATGGTGGTTCAATTTCTTTTTCTTTTTTTTGCTTGTATCTGTCCAATTTTCCCAACACCATTTATGGACCAATGTCACCCCAATTAATTCAATAAATTTTTTATAAAAATGTCATAGAATGGAAAGAAAGTGAAGGTTTTTCCGAATATTTTCCTTTAAGTTTAGTAAACCAAGCATAAATGACATAAATTTAAAATGAATTTCTAGACCCTAGAAACTCATAATATATACATTATTTGGCTTCAAAAAGTATTTTGCAAACATTATGTCTTTTAATTTTGAATTTAGGCCTTTAGAAAAATAGGCACAGTAGCCACTTTCTTAGAGAGGAAATCAAGAATGAACATGCTTTGAGGGATATCAGATGGTTGGTTGAAGGAACAAAATGATCACTTTAAATATCCAAACAGAAACAGACTGTGGAATCTCAGAGGGAAGGTGAGGGAGGAGTGCGGGGGAAGAGAATAATCAAAGACCTTGCATGCATTCATGCATAACCCATGGACACAGACAACAGGGGACTTAAGGACCAGGGCAGGTACCACGGCCAGGCTAGAAGGGGCAATGGGGGGGAAAGTGGACTTCTGTAATACTTCCTACAATAATGATTAAAAAAAAATATCCAAACAGAAATTATGGAAACTAGAATAATGAATTTATAATTTCATCAAAATAAACTTCACTAATGTGAGTGCTTACAGGCATGCAGTCAGCTCTGTGCAGTTCATTGGGGAGACTCGGGTGGATATAAAGTAATAAGAGGCTGAAGCTACGGTTCCCCACAAAAGTGGGCGTAGAGCCCGCTGGGAATTGCTACAACGGTTTCAGGGTCACAACCCCTGAGCTTCTGATGCTGAGTCTGAGTGAGCCTGTGAGTTTGCATTTGCCTTTCTACCGATTCCCCAGAGACACTGACACGGCTGTTTCCGGGGTCACACTCTGAGGGCTCTGGGGCCCCAATGCCCAGCACTGAGTGCACATCCCATTCCTCTCTGTTGAGGCATAAACCTTCCTTCATGTGGCCTCACCAGAACCTACGTCTATTTTTTAATGAAGCCAGAAGCCATTCACCAAAATACCTTTGCATGTGGGTGTTCCTATCCAAGTGCCGTGCCTACATTCTACAACATTGGATCCAAACATTTGGTAGTAGTCTGGACAACTGTAAGCCACGTGTTCTCCTGACTTGTATGAGTTCTTCGGCTGGCCCACGAGGATGGCGTTGCCATAGCTGGGTGGGCTAGGACAAGTCATTGCTGAAAAGGCAAGAACATAAACTTTTCAGTAAATCTTTAACATGTCGGCCAATAATTATACTCTAGAATAATAGATACACACCAAACTAAAGCCTACTGTACAATGTCTTTCTTATAACTTGAAAATGTTATAAAAAATGTTTTTCTTAAAACTTGTTCACCATCTTGACTCAACTACATTGAAAAATTTTACATTTATTAAAGGTGTCACGTGGGGACGGTGGAATTGAAAGCCTGAGGAGATGGGCATACAGGTCATGATCCAGACCAAACTTCTTACATCCAATTTCTTATTTGTCCACACGGGCCCCAGACACTATGTACATATATTTTTTGGTTCTGTCCAAATTTGTTTCCCATAATTACATCAAACACATTCAATTGACTATGTTTTTATTGATTTCAGTGAGGAAGGGAGCGGGATTGCGAGATAGAAACATCAATGATGAGAGGGAATCACTGATTGGCTGCCTCCAGCATGCCCCACACTGGGGATGGAGCCTGCAACCCGTGCATGTGCCCTTGACCAGAATCAGTTCTGGGTCCCTTCAGTCTCAGACAAAGCTCTTCCACTGAACCAAACTGGTTAGGGCTAGAATTGTTTAATAATTCATCAAAATTTTATCATAAACATTAAAACTGATTTTCTCAGAGTCCACAGGAATATTAAAGGACTTACGTAAGCATTTGGGTGGCTCAGACCACTGTCCATCAAGGCACGTTATTCTCCTGTTTCCCTCAAGTTGATAGTAGGCCTGGCATTGATACTCCACTGAAGACCCCGATGCGTAGAATGGTGACATATATGTGGTAATGTCTCCATTGTCAATAGCAGGAGGGGGCCCACATTGTCCTGTTGGCTCTAAGAGAGGGTATTGTTGGTTTATTGAGTGAGTAGTTGATTTTAAGGGAGCTGCGGAGTAGGTGGGAGCTACACTCACCTCCTCCCGGCCCCAAACCGATTTACAGGAAATGATAGAGCAACAAACCTGAGTAACCAATGAAGGCCAGCTGGACAGGAGTCTAGTAACCAAGTGCTTACAGAAGCTGCACAGAGACTGGGAGGGGAGAATGAGACACCTACCCTTGCACTCAGGTGGGTCTGTCCACTTCCCACTTAGACATGTCACCACTGCTTTCCCGAAGAGGCCCAAAGGGTGCCTGCATTCATAACGTGCTGTGTCCCCATGTTGATACCTAGGCTTCTGGTTTGGTATAATGGCATTTTGCACTGTGGGAGGCCTGCCACAGGAGAGATCTGAATAAAGAGAAAACAATGGATCTCTAATGCAGTGATTGTTTATAACTCAGTTGAGACTGAAAAGCTTCATAAATTCATATGCAGGATTGAATAGAGAAGATAAAGCATTTTTTTATTTTTTTTTGGTAAGAGTTAAGCTTCTATATCTTAAAGTTCTTTCCCATCCACCTTTGAAGGTTAATGGACATAATTAGGCCAATGAAAATGATGATTATGCTGTGCAAAACTTTTTATTTTGACGTAGTTCTATTTGTTTATTTTTTCTTTTGTTTCCATTGCTCAGAGAGATATATCAGCAAGTATATGGCTATGTGAAACGTCTGAGATTTGGCTGCCTATGATTTCTTCTAGGACTTTTGTGACTTCAAATTTTACATTTAAGACTTTAATCACTGCAATGAGCAATGTGTAGGTTTTGGTGTAAGATGGTGGTTCAATTTCTTTTTCTTTTTTTTGCTTGTATCGCTCCAATTTTCCCAAAACCATTTATGGACCGATGTCACCCCAATAAATTCAATAAATTTTTTTTAATAAGTCATAGAATGGAAAGAAAGTGATGGTTTTTCAGAACATTTTCCTTTAAGTTTAGTAAACCAAGCATAAATGATATAAATTTAAAATGAATTTCTAGACCCTAGAAACTCATAATACATACATTATTTGGCTTCAAAAAGTATTTTGCAAACATCATGTCTTTGAATTTTGAATTTAGGCCTTTAGAAAAATAAACACAGTAGCCACTTTCTTAGAGAGGAAGTCAAGAATGAACAGGCTTTGAGGGATATCACATGGTTGGTTGAAGGGACAAAATGATCACTTAAAAGATCCAAACAGAAACAGACTGTGGAATCTCAGAGGGAAGGTGAGGGAGGATGGGGGGGGAAAGAGAATAATCAAAGACCTTGTATGCATTCATGCATAACCCATGGACACAGGCAACAGGGGGGTGAAGACTGGGGCGGGTACCACGGCTAGGCTAAAAGGGAAAATGGGGGGGAAGTGGACTTCTGTAATACCGTCAACAATAAAGTTAAAAAAAAATCCAAACAGAAATTATGGGAAATAGAACAATGAATTTATAATTTCATCAAAATACATTTCAATAATGTGAGTGCTTAAGGGCACTGCAGTGAGCACTGTGAGGTTCACTGGGGAGACTCAGTAATAAGAGGCTGAAGCTATGGTTCCCCACAAAAGTGGGCGCAGAGCCCGCTGGGAATTGCTACAACAGTTTCAAGGTCACAACCCTGAGCTTCTGATGCTGAGTCAGAGTGAGCCTGTGAGTTTGCATTTGCCTTCCTACCGATTCCCCAGCCAAACTGACAGGGCTGTTTCCGGGGTCACACTCTGAGGGCTCTGGGGTTCCAATGCCCAGCACTGAGTGCACATCCCATTCCTCTATGCCAGTGATTCCCAAAGTGGGTGCTACCGCCCCCTGGTGGGCGCTGCAGCGATCCAGGGGGGCGGTGATGGCCACAGGTGCATTTGGGGGCATATATCTTTGTGTTTAATTGCTATTAAAATTTAAAAAAATTAATTTCCAGGGGCACTGACTAATATTTTTTCTGGAAAGGGGGCGGTAGGCCAAATAAGTTTGGGAACCACTGCTCTGTGCTGAGGCATAAACCTTCCTTCATGTGGCCTCACCAGAACCTGCGTCTAATTTTAATGATGGGAGAAGCCATTCACCAAAATACCTTTGCATGTGGGGGTTCCTATCCAAGTGCCGTCCCTACACTCTACAACATTGGATCCATACATTTGGTAATGTTCTGGACATCCATAAGCCACTTGTTCTCCTGACTTGTATGAGTTCTTCGGCTGGCCCAGGAGGATGGCGTTGTCATAGCTGGGTGGGCTAGGACAAGTCATTGCTGAAAAGGCAGAACATAAACTTTTCAGTAAATCTTTAACATGTCGGCCAATAATTATACTCTAGAATAATAGATACACACCAAACTAAAGCCTACTGTACAATGTCTTTCTTATAACTTGAAAATGTTATAAAAATGTTTTTCTTAAAACTTGTTCACCATCTTGACTCAACTACATTGAAAAATTTTACATTTATTAAAAGTGTCATGTGGGGACGGTGGAATTGAAAGCCTGAGGAGATGGGCATACAGGTCATGATCCAGACCAAACTTCTTACATCCAATTTCTTATTTGTCCACACGGGCCCCAGACACTATGTACATATATTTTTTGGTTCTGTCCAAATTTGTTTCCCATAATTACATCAAACACATTCAATTGACTATGTTTTTATTGATTTCAGTGAGGAAGGGAGAGGGATTGAGAGATAGAAACATCAATGATAAGAGGGAATCATTGATTGGCTGCCTCCAGGACGCCCCACACTGGGGATGGAGCCTGCAACCCGTGCATGTGTCCTTGACCAGAATCAGTTCTGGAACCCTTCAGTCTCAGACAAAGCTCTTCCACTGAACCAAACCGGTGAGGGCTATAATTATTTATTAATTCATCAAAATTTTATCATAAACAGTAAAACTGATTTTCTGAGTCCACAGGAATATTAAAGGACTTACCTAAGCATTTGGGTGGCTCAGACCACTGTCCATCACTGCACATTATTCTCCTGTTTCCCTTAAGTTGATAGTAGGCCTGGCATTGATACTCCACTGAAGACCCGGGAGCGTAGACTGCTAATGGATACGTGGTAACGTCTCCATTGTCAATAGTAGGAGGGGGCTTACATTGTCCTGTGGACTCTAAGAGAGGATATTGTTGGTTTACTGAGTGAGCAGTTGATTTTAAGGGAGCTGCGGAGTAGGTAGGAGCTACACTCACCTCCTCCCGGCCCCAAACCGATTTACAGGAAAAGATAGAGCAACCAACCTGAGTAACCAAATGAAGGCCAGCTGGACAGGAGTCTAGTAACCAAGTGCTTATAGAAGCTGCACAGAGACTGGGAGGGGAGAATGAGACGCCTACCCTTGCACTCAGGTGGGTCTGTCCACTTCCCACTGAAGCAGGTCACCACTGCTTTCCCGAAGAGGCCCAAAGGGTGCCAGCATTCATAACGTGCTGTGTCCCCATGTCGATACCTAGGCTTCTGGTTTGGTATAAAGGCATTTTGCACTGTGGGAGGGCTGCCACAGGAGAGAGCTGAATAAAGAGAAAACAATGGATCTCTAATGCAGCGATCATTTAGACGCAATTGAGATTGAAAATCTTCACAAATTTACATGCAAGATTGTAGAAAGATAAAGCAATTGTTTGGGTAAGTGTTAAGCTTCTGTATCTTAAATTTATTTCCTGTCCTCTCTCTAAGGTTAATAGAGATTTTTAGGCCAATGAAAGTGATGATTATGCTATGCAAAACTTTTTAGTTTGACGTAGTCTATTTTTTTCTTTCGTTTCCCTTGCTCGAGGAGATATATCAGAAAAGATAGTGCTGAGAGAATTATCTGAGATTTGACTGCCTATAATTTCTTCTAGGATTTTTATGGTTTCACACCTTACATTTAAGTCTTTAATCCATTTTGAGTTTATTCTTGTTTTTGGTCTAAGAAGGTGGCCTAATTTCATATTTTTTGCTTGTGTCTGTCCAATTTTCCCAGCACTATTTAATACCAAATGCCATCCCAACAAATTCAATAAAAATTAAAATGAATTTATAAAGTGATTGAAAAAAGAAAATGATAGTTTTTCTGAATATTTTCCTTTTTAAGTTTAGTAAACCAAGTATCAATTATATAAATTCAAAATGAATTTCTAAAGCCTAGATAGTCATCATAAATTCCTTATTTGGCATCAAAATGTGTTTCTCAAACATCATGTTTTTGAATGTTTATTTTAGGCCTTTGGAAAATAAGTGACAATAGCCTCTTTCTTAGACAGGAAGTCGATTTCTTAATAGGCTTTGAGGGATGTCATATAATTGAATGAAAAGATCATCACTTAAAAGATCCAAACAGCAACCGACTGTGGAATCTCAGAGGGATGGAGGGTGGTAAGAGACAACCAAAGACCTTGTATGCATTCATGCATAACCCATGGACACAGACAACAGGGGGGTGAAAGACTGGGGTGGGGACCCGGGCCAGGCTAGAAGGGGTCAATAGGTAGAAAAATGGATTTTTGTAATACTTTCAACAATAAAGATTAAAAATCAAAAGATTCACACAGAAATTGAGCAAAAATAAGAGTAAAATATATTTACAAGAAATACTCCAATAATGTGAGTGCTTAAGGGCACTGCAGTGAGCACTGTGCAGTTCATTGGGGAGACTCGGGTGGATATAAAGTAATAAGAGGCTGAAGCTACGGTTCCCCACAAAAGTGGGCACAGAGCCCGCTGGGAATTGCTACAACGGTTTCAGGGTCACAACCCCTGAGCTTCTGATGCTGAGTCAGAGTGAGCCTGTGAGTTTGCATTTGCCTTTCTACCGATTCCCCAGACACACTGACACAGCTGTTTCCGCGGTCACACTCTGAGGGCTCTGGGGCCCCAATGCCCAGCACTCAGTGCACACCCCATTCCTCTATGCTGAGGCCTAAACCTTCCTTCATCTGGCCTCATCAGAACCTACGTCTATTTTTTAATGATGGGAGAAGTAATTCACCAAAATACCTTTGCATGTGGGTGTTCCTATCCACCTGCCATTCATACACTGTACAACATTGGAACCATCCATTTGGTAATATTTTGGACATTTATAAGTCACTTCTTCTCCTGACTTGTATGCATTCTTCTTCCGGCCTACAAGGATGGCATTGCCATAGCTGGGTGGGCTAGGGCAAGTCATTTCTGAAAAAGCAACAACATAGAGTTTTCAGTAAATCTTTAAAAGTACATGTTGGCAAATAATTGTATTTTAGAATAATAGATACACACCAAACTAATGCCTATTGTATAATGTTTTTCTTATAACTTGAAAATTCAAGCAGCCTTGACTGAATTATATTGAATAATTTTACATTTATCAAAGGTGTCACGTGGGGATGGTGGTATTGAAAGCCTGAGGAGATGGGCATACAGGTCATGATCCAGACCAAACTTCTAACATCCAAATTCTTATTTGTCCACACAGGCCACACTCACTATGTACATATATTTTTTGTTTCTGTTGAAATCTGTTTCCCATAATTACATTAAACATATTCAATTGACTATGTTTTTAATTATTTCAGTGAGGAAGAGAGAAGGATTGAGAGATAGAAACATCACTGATGAGAGGGAATCACTGATGGATTGCTTCCAGCATGCCCCACACTGGGGATTTGAACTGTCACCTCCTAGGTCATAGGTTGATGGTCAACCACTGAGCCATGTGGGGCTGGCTGCATCCGGGAGCGTAGACTGGTGATGGGAATGTGATAATGTCTCCATAGAAGGAGCGGGCCCACATTGTCCTTTTGACTCTAAGAGAGGATAATATTTGATTTATTGAACGTCAGGTAGCTGCAGAGTAGGTGGGAGCTATACTTTCCTTCTCCCGGCGCCGAACCCATTTACAGGAAATGATAGAGCAACCAACCTGAGTAACCAATGAAGGCCAGCTGGACAGGAGTCTAGTAACCAAGTGCTTACAGAAGCTGCACAGAGACTGGGAGGGGAGAATGAGACACCTACCCTTGCACTCAGGTGGGTCTGTCCACTTCCCTCTTAGACATGTCACTTCTGCTTTCCCGATGAGGCCCAAAGGGTGCCTGCATTCATAACGTGCTGTGTCTCTATGTCGATACCTAAACTTCTGGTTTGGTATGAAGGCATTTTGCACTGTGGGAGGTCTGCCACAGGAGAGAGCTGAATAAAGAGAAAACAATGGATCTCTAATGCAGCGATCATTTAGATGCATTTGAGATGGAAAATCTTCATAAGTTTACACACATGATTGAAAAAAGAAGATAAAGCAATTTTTTTTGGTAAGAGTTAAGCTTCTATATCTTAAGTAAATTTTTTTATTGTTTATTGATTGATTGAGAGAGAGAGAGAGAGAGAGAGAGAGAGACATTGATTGGCTGCCTCCTGCACGTCTCCTACTGGGTATCAAGCTCACAACCCCAGCATGTGCCCTGACTGGGATCAAACCAGCGATTTCTTGGTACATGGGATCACACCCAATCCACTGAGTCACACCAGCCAGGGCTACAACTATTTCTTTCTTTTTTTTAAAGAAAAAAATATTTTTATGATTTTATTTTATTTTTTTTGTTTATAGCAGCTTATTTTTAATTGACAAAATTTGGAAGCAACCAAGATATTCTTCAGTAGGTGAATGGACAAATCACTGTGATACATGCAGAATATTATCCAGAGCTAAAAAGAAATTAGGTATCCAGCTATAAAGACAAGGAGGAACCTTAAATGCATAATGCTAAGTGAAAGAAGCCCATCTGAAAAGGCTACATACTGTATGAGTCCAGCATATGACATTCTGGAAAAGGAAAAACTATGGAAACAGTGAAAAGATCAGGGGTTGTCATGATGGGGAAAATAATACATTTGCGGGGGCTAGCAATCCGAGTCTTTGCCAGTAACCTAATGCACATTCTTTTTTTAAAAAATATATTTTATTGATTTTTTACAGAGAGGAAGGGAGAGAGATAGAGAGTTAGAAACATCGATGAGAGAGAAACATTGATCAGCTGCCTCCTGCACACCTCCCACTGGGGATGTGCCCGCAACTCAGATACACGCCCTAGACCGCAATCAAACCTGGGACACCGGAGTCCGCAGGCCAATGCTCTAGCCACAGAGCCAAACCGGTTTTGGCCTAATGCACATTCTTGATATCCGTCATTAAGTCACTGCCCCTTTCTTCACACTCTGGTCTTTAAGACCTGTTTACCTAAATACTCCTATTTTACAGAAGCCATAAACCATGAACAATACACAACCCCCAGA